TCTGTTTGGGTGCAGTCACACCATGCACATCTCGTGTGACACACACACCTGTTACCAGGGTACGTGTAACCCAGCAACATTCTTTTTGAGCATTTGAAAGTATAACCCTTTTTATTATTGCGACCATAAACGCGTCGCAATTTAGTCTTCAAGACCGCTGGCACGGCATGAGTTGGTACAATGATGACATTCAATAACACCTTTTGTCCCACAACAGATTGCGCTCACCTTGCCTCTGACGTCAGCGATGCTGGTACTGGCACCTTTACGCATTTTGCACATGACTATCAATCTTATTGATATAAAGCCGCTGCAACGAAGTTCTGCATGGCTGGTGTCAGCAAATCGAATTTAATTGAGAGCTCATTGACCAGTATGACTGGAGCAATTTTGCTAAGCCATTAGTAAATGCTATTTAAAGCATGAAGAGGGAAGCGCTGACGCATTTTATGCAACCTCAATGAGTGGAAGCAACGCGTTTCAGAATCATTTTTTCTGACATCAAGTGCTCTGAACGAGATCCTTCTCCACGTGGATTTCACCTTCCGCCCGGATTATTGGTATTGTGATCGTTATTGACCGTTCTACCAAATTTTACTGCTATTAGCGATACTGTAAGCGGTGAGGATACAGTCATCTTGCTCATCGAGTAAGTTTCACCAACATTCTTTACCGATAGCCTTTGTGTCGTATCTGTTTCGCAACAGAGTGCTTCGTCAATTTGACTTTTCAGCACCCATTCTATCGGGCCGATGTCTGAACTTTAAAGTAATGTTTTGGCGAGCTTTGTTTTGGTGACAAGCATCAGTCTAAATTGAGAATGAGACCTTTAAATAACTCGCCTTTTGAAAGACCGAATATCATCAATCGGCCTGCCAACAGTCCGTCTTAACCGGCAGACTACACAAAGGCGCCGATGCTTGTGGGGAGGGTACAGTCCGCAACGCACATACTTACATACTTACATACTTACATACCTATTGTATATATGTATATGTTAAACCACTAGTACATATCGCTCAACAGTAGCACGTCGAATTTTCTTCCGATCAAAGCACTAAAAGAGAGAACGTGTGATACGTTCAACGTTTTGAGCTTGTGGACCTCATCATGGTAAATCACCTCATGTAGACGATCTAGCAAGGATGATGGTGTCGAGGCGCAACCAAACGCATTGCTAAATTCTGATCGGTATACTGTATGTATTCCCTGATCAATGCGCGACATTACCATCTCTACATGCATAAGTATATAGTCGGGGTGACATTACAGTAAATTCGTCACCACATTAAGCTGACCTTACTTCAGCTTTACCTCAACGGCTACTCAGCAAAGGATTACCATTCGTTGAGAAGGCTGTGAGGTGACTACGCAACAACGCATGATTTATTTAGATTACAAAATGTATAGAGTCAAGCAGACAATCCCGGAAAATAGCAAGGGTGTACATTGTCGCAAGTAGCTCATTGCGTGACAAAGGTAGTTCTTTCCAGCAGCTTGGGGCTATCGAGACTGAAATGTGGCGAAGTACTTCCGCACCTTGCAATCTGATAAATCATAGCCAGTGGCAAAGGCTGAAGCGTCCCAGACAACATAAAACGACCGATCTGTATTTGGAAGAACCAATATCGAGGCATACACTAGGATTTCTATTTCAGCCTTTGAAGCAGCCTCTTTCGCCGCGAAAAACATTTTGACGCCCCATGCTAGTGTAAGTAATTGACTAGGCCAAGCTACTTTCTTGCTTCTTTAGGTTTAAAGGACTGACCAGTTTCCAATGGCATTTTCCTCTGAATAATCTTCTCGCAAGCCATGTTACTCAACGCGCTAGTCTAGAGAAGAAATTCTGCCAACAACAACCAGACAGTTGTTGATATTGACACGCATCTTACTAAAGCTCATAAAGTAAAGCAATGCTCGCAAGTGTATGATTTGATTATCTCGATCCGTTTTGCCTAGCTCTGCTTTTTCATAAACCAGCATATCAGTAAAATAGATTTGTGCACGCTACGACACAGAAAGAAACATCTGCGTCACCAGACGTTCTGGACCCGCCGGTGCGTAAGTCAGTACCTGTTGTATCGGCTGCCACTCCCAGAGTTTCTCACTCGAAGTACTCACCGCAAAGATGGAATTTGCTTACTCTCGATAAAACAAATAATAATCTATAATCAGGCCATGGGCATGGAACCACATGCTGTTCGGCAGCACATTTTTTCTAGGAGTTGGCGTTTGCGCTACGTGTACTGCTGCTTTCGCCATATTATTGGCATTCACAGATCGCCGCTTGCTATTGGTCTTAATGACTCCGAAAGTCGGCGACAACTGTGATGATTAATTCTATCAATGAGATCGTTTTGTGCTTCGTACGGAAGAGAGAGTCACTGAGATCACATTTTTTTTAGTCTATCGACGTGTGGCGCAACATTTTGGCTCCATGATACGGTATATATATTTATGATGCACACCCATTCAGGTGCAACACACACGATGAGTCTCCAGTCAGCACATTTTGATGCTTCTTCAACAAATTATGATAAATACCCGTTGAACTCAGGATATTAGATGTCCCACGTATTGCATTCAATTTTCACAAAGTGTGAGGCATCCATGACGGATGAGAGTTTACAGCCTTCTCTGGTACCAGCAGTACTACTTCAACAAGTTCACCGTGAAGCAGGTACTTGCATACATCACATGCGGCTTTTAATGATCAGCTCAGTAAGTACTTCAATCTGAGGTAATGAAAGGAGGCTTAGAAAAGCTCGGACTACCCCGGTCACCCCGTTCACGAAGGAATAATCTTTCTCGCAACTCACCTACAAAGCTCCACTACTTCAAAGGGTAAGTGCGCGCTTATAACGTAGGAATCAATCGGCGCTTTGGTCGGGCATTCGCTTCACTGAAGCTTTGTTAAAGACCTTAAACGAATAGACAGCCTTATTCTTCACCGTAGCGTATTTAGAACGTATTATCTGTACTCTCACCGGCCTGGGAAACCCCGTGCCATAAACGAGGAATCTTGTACATCCCTCATTGAGGGCACGGATTTGTTCAACTGCTGTTGCTCTTTGCGGCGGTGGTACCTCTGAAGAATGATAACATGAAATGATAGACAACGCTTGTGGAGCAAAGCTCTGGCGCTCGTTTCTCTTCGGTATAACTAAGAGGCCCGTGCTCATAGACGTGTAAGGGCTCCGCCCAAAAGCGACGTGAAAATAAGAGTGTTAAAAAACCGTAATCTCGACGTGATAAGTTTGACATGAGTCAGTGTGACTCTTGTACTTGCAGATGAGCAAGCTGGGCTCCCTGAGTCAGCTGTATCTTTTTGAGGGCAAGCTGGGCATTGTCATGAGACCTGCAGCTGGGTGCCCCCGAATTTCATTAGGTGGAAAAGAGCATGGAGATTGGCGGGGGTCAGGCGATCCAAGTCACCACAAGCGTTTTCATGGGCACAGCTCATTCTTAACAAATAAGGCTTTAAAAGTAATAATTCGCAAGAAAAATGCTAGTAATGGAGGCTTTTAAGCTCGACCATTGTGCCAATATGCAATGAGGAGTAGGCAAGGCAAAGGGTGGAGATAGACTCCAACCGCGGCAGTTGTTCGTAGAATCGTTTCTTTGAGATGTGTCTATACAAGACAACAACGGCGTGAGCCTTTGTGCTCTCCGCACATCAAAAAAAGGTGTTAGGGAAAACTTTTGCTCCCAGTTTCGGTAGTTTCCCCTTTTACCTCTCTGTACGTAATCGTACATACGCCTTGCGCTATTCCGCGATTTTGCAAGACAGTTTTTCATGATTTTACGTAATGCTTATTGCACTTTTGTGTGATTGTATATGTATTAACACCAAATTATCGATAGATGTAAAGAAGATGAGACTGACTGATTCAGATGTCCGTGGGATGCTTGGGTTACAACCGCTCTTAGAGTAAACAATGCAGTAAATCCTGAGATATTGTAAAAAAGATATATCAAGAATTAATTCACATGTAAAATTCACATGTAAAATTTCAATTATATATCACTCTATATATAGCGAAACTAATATATATATATATTACTCTATATATAGCAGAACTAACTGAAGACTTAGGTAAATTAGGGACTCTCAGCTTCACTCGTGGTTGGAGCGTACGAGTTCAACTTCTGTGCGCTTGTTGGGCGAACTCTTTGATGCCCTCTCTGTGTAAAGTGTGCGGCAACTCCATTTCAGAGTAACAATACCGATTTTTTTCTTTCTTACCCATGAGTGCACAGATTTGGAGCGGTAATCACTCAAATAATTTTGGCCCTGATCACATTCTCCCAGCAGATAGTAAGCGGAGTCGTGGATGATGCATATTGCTGATACGATATCCATACTTCAGGTGACGAAACACCAGGGTAAGGAGTTCAAGACTTCTACAATGTAGAACAGTAAATTGGTTTAGACCTAGATTCTAGTCAATTTTTACCTAGGTGGAGTGACACGGGCAATAGATGCAAAGTGGGCGAGTACATTAATTGCTGCGCACAGTGTACTGGCAAATTTTGTAACCACCGTTGTTAGGTAGCAGAAGTTTATTAGGCACAGGCATGATGCTGCGATAAATTTAGCGTACGGCATGGTATTGTCCGCATTAGATAACAAATTATTACAAAAAGCTTTGTCCTTAGATCGGAAGACCTAAGAATCAATTTGGCCTCAGGATGATACAAGAAGCAGTGGTCAATATTCGCGAGCTGAAGCGCATTTTTGCCGGGACCGAACAAGCAGTAGACGATATACCGTTGTCCAGAGAAGGTTACCGTGAAAAAACATTTAATTACAGTTGTGAGCTAAGGTTTCCAGTCATCAAGTTAGGTGGAACGCAAAAGAGCTACTGTGTATAACTGCCTTCTGGACAAAAAAAGTAAAGGCAACTCAGGACAGCCCAATCCGCAATCTGTTTATAGCAATAAGTGAAGTTAGTCGACTGCAAGTCGTGAGCAAAACGGGCAAGTGCAAAATATATGAGCTATTTGTCTGCCGTGATGAGCAACCACTGTGTCAGCAATATTGTGAAGCATATAGTTTAAGCTGAGAACTCTTAAGTAACACTGAGTGTAAGAATTGAAATGGATTTCCTCACCTACTCTTTTAATTCGATTCCATTGAGAAATTACAATGTGATGACGACACACCGCTTGGCCTTCATCGTATCGGGGTGTGTATCATGTAGAGCACGATGCAAACGACGAGGTGGAAAGCTATTGTTTTCGCTGTTTGCACTTCGCTCTTCTCTATGTAACGGCTATATCAGCTACAAACCAAAGGGATTATTTACCTTGAAATTAGTCACATTCTAGTAGTGAGAAGCGCACTGTGACAGCTGATCCTTACTTTTCTCCGAGACAGATAAAGGCCAAGGGTTCGTCAGGTAATATGTGGCAATGGAAACAGGACAATTCTTCCGAAATCAGGCGTTAGTCTACCGTATGTTCTTTTCAAAATGTAGGACCTTCTGCATCATTAGCGACTGGTATTAAGCCGGGTGTACTTGCTGGCTCACCAAACGGTGCACGTGAAAATGGGTCATATCTTGCTCATCAAGCAGTACCAGCGAAGGTCGATCCTCCATCCTAAACCAAAGACTTTGATACTTTTATGCCTATTGATGTAATTGCTGTGATGGCGTTGTCACTGTGCTATCAAGACAAGATTAATAAAGACGAACGCAACCTTCGTGCGTTTGTTATCGCGAACTTTTTGAGTCGAAGCTTTCAGTTGCACTTAGTAGCACTTATATTCAATTTGCGACTGATACATAAAAATGTTGTATCCTCTGCGAAAAGAAACATGAGATGTTTGATAATCTGTCCTGTAAAACTGCTAGCCACGTTTAACTTTATGTCTATTGTTTGTACGGACGGGGTCCGGGAAGTGGCGGCATCAGACCCAGATGTGATAATCCTCTCCTGAAGTTGTCACAATCAAAAAATTGCACAGGTGAGACACCTTCAAGACCACCTTTATCGTACTCAGCTGAAAGATCAAATGTCACCCATCGTGAGGCCGCTGATGATGTGAAAGTAACTATTGAAGACTAGAACGGAGAAATTTTCCCTCCGGACCAGGGAAGTTACGATGTCCATATATCTGACCACGATTTAAGCAGACTTACAGCGCACTCTGGCTGTTATCAATCTTTAATGCCGCGCACGAAATGGTACCTCAGTCGATAGAAAGATTATAAGCGACAAAAGTTGTGGGTGTTTGCACCGCATACCCAGAGTTAGCGGATGTGCTCAAAGTTCTTATCCACCCGTAAAGGGAAACGATATAAGCGGAAAATTAAGCGTTCATGTCTATGCAATGGTGTCAGACCATCTTTGGGATGTTGTAATACTGCAATGGTTACCATTTTCATGTAGGATCTTTGAGCAGATGTCGCCGGCACCATGTCTTTCCGCGTCCACCCTACCTTATTTGGGGAAGCAAAGGATGTCCAATTGAAGGCAAAGATTTTTTTGCGATAAGAGGGCCAAATGGGGCACTGAAGAAAAAATGTTTGCAACGCACTAGAAGCGATAGACCTCAATCATGCTGAAATAGGAAAGAGAGATCTCTAGGTTCTGAGCAACACTGATCTGACACTTGAAATCTAGTTTTGTGTCACACTCACAGACCATTACCAAAGAGATGGGTGCCGCGACGTATTAGATTTTTCTGTATACAATATTGATTTGAGAGAGCAAACTCCTCACCCGGCGTCTTCCAAGAAAAGCAAGCGGCAAGAGGCACATTAGGCATGCCCATCACGGATAAAACGCAGCCATGATTCCGGCGCAAATACCAACTGCCATATAGATGGACTACCAGATAGCCTCATTCTTTCGACTTTGCTCATTATTTTTGACTTGGCTGACGTGTATTACTAACTTTTGATAAATTATAGCGATATCCCTCCACTATCGTCAGATATTCGATCGAGATGCCCCGCGAGTGGTCAGTTATATCACAGAGACTGGCTTACGTACCAGCGACACATGACCGTCGTGTGTCGCACACGTTTTGGGCTATGCACAAACCTTTATGTGAGTATATTCGATCATATTCGTGCAATGCACGACAGATCGAACGTGGAGTTTCAAATCAAACTCTTGCGATAAGTGCTCGAGACTATGCGCTTATAAAATCATTTTGCCAATATTAATAAATGTGCCTTTGGCACCGAAGAATTGTTCTATATCGTATACTTAATTAAAAAAGAGCCTGCAGGCGGTCCCAGTAATGAAAAGTTATATAGATAAGCCAATGCCGCTGTTTTAAGAATACTGACGGAAGTGGCTTGCTATAATCAACTATATGAAACAAGTATAGCGCAAATTGTGTCGTTATGACATGGCCTCTCGCCAATCTCCTCGAGCTGGATGTCGAATGACACCGGGGAGCGACAGATAATGCGGACTAAGAAACGGCAAATGAGAGCCTCATGAATTCCACAATTCCCGCCTATCTAGTTAGGACGATCATTTCCGTCGCCTGTAGCGCGTTGGCCCTTGTCATTGGTTGTTCTTTCTTCATCGGTGTGAGCGCTTGGTTGCACTTATTTTCGCCGGCTACAGAGGCAAGGAAAGCCTTTTTGAACAATGCGGCTTGACTCGATCAAATTCTGGGTTCGCTTGCTTACAACTAAGCCAATTGCAATAGATCCATTTGGGCTGAAATGGCCATAACGGCGACCAAGGCAATGCCGTCATCACATCTCTCACAAAAATGGATGTTATCCTTTGCTAAAATACCTCTGAGGTAAGGTTTGAGCTCGGTCGGTTTTACTAAGGATGTTCTTTGCGTCGCCCACAAACAAGTCGCGATGGCGACGTTCAAATTACTAATGATACACACAGCGTACGGTACCGATCAACATCTGCTGCCCTGTAAATCGCTTTGCCAAGTAGAATTTTTTATTGGGGGTTAGCTTAATTGAAGAACGCGATAACACGATTTACTGCTGTTCATTGTTCCCAATGATTTCTGTATTTCAGCACAACACTTACACACTCGATACGTGTCGTGCAATGGCACAGATCGCAACTTATGAAAATGTAATCGCTACATGAATTTTCCTTGGACTGCCACCTCGAGAGGACTAAAACGTACGATATTTGCAGCCAAGCGTGTGTAAAATTACTCATACGTATCACAGAGACCTCAATCCGGTATAAAAAACGCGTCATTTGAAGATCAAACATTAGGGGTTTGCAAACGGCCTGCCGTCATCTAATCACACCGGCCGTCTGTCAACGCGAAAGACGAGCAATGTACCCGTTAATTGTTTCACACGCGTACATACGTCCTTGTACTCATTCGTTACCTTAATTAAGTTACAATTCATTAATTACGGTAAATGGTGTAACCATTCTTTCCAACTAGAGTGGAATTTTCTGCCTTGTCGCATTCTCTCTGCATTGAGTTTTCGGCTTCGCGTATAGACTACAAAGTGTATTTTCTCGGTCAAAAAGCATCCAGTGAGAAAAGGAAGCGATGACCGACAAGCAAAAACCTCGCGAAGACGTCCTCAAGAGACTCGTTTGCGACTTGGAAGCGAAGAAAACGTTGTGCTGCGTCAAGGACTATCCTGGAGTGGAACTAGAGCAGTTGAATCATTACGTGAAGAATTTTGGTCCATTGGTGAACCCGCCAACACTATTGCATGCCGCTCTCTCGAAGTGGCCCTCCAAGGAAACTTCAAGCGCCTCTTATGATATATAAAATGTACGATATCTCAGTGAGGTGTCATCACATGACGTGTATCGAGTGGGCCGGTGATGTGCTAAAATATAGCAAGCCTTAAGGACAAGGTGTAGCAGTGAAACATACCACCAAGCACCTTGACTAAGCGACATTCAAATTTGACTATCCTTACTAATTTGAAAAGCAATTAGCATCAAATTCTATGTTGAATCAGTGTACGCCATATGTGTATCTTTTAGAATAGGCGACGTCACCACCGTGACATGTTGTTGTGGGGGCGACGCAAAGAGTATCTATCTCCTCCACATTAAGTTGACTCAAATTATACCTTAATTCGATGTATATTCGACAGATATTGATAATTATCTTACCATTCTGTGTGAGCGATGTGGTAACTACGTCACCGTGCACATCGATGCACGTAATATATACATATCACAAATGGCTCAGAGTTGAGCTAGCGCACATTTAACCTGACAATTACATACATCATTTAATGTCATAGTTGGAGTAGTATTTGTATGCTAATATAGGTGGCAAGAATCAATGGAATGATGCGTTTGCGTCCATGACGAGAGGGTAGTTTACGGAAGAGACCGAAGTGCCTCCAAGATATGAAATGACCTTTTGGGTTTAAAGGATTCGGAATAAAAATCTCTCATGAGACTTTTCATCACGTTTGCTAAATACGCATCTTCTGATGTACCCTGGTACCAATTGACATCCTGTTCAGGCGATTTGCAGCGGGGCTGCTGTAGCTCTTTGCTTAAAGGAAGCTAAGCTAAAACACCGATCGTTACATGAGAGTGACACGTCACTCTCCCAAGGGAGCTGTGGTGTGGCATACACCACA